TATAGAAATAGTTCACAAAAAAAACTTATATGGTAGTAATTCTGTAATTAAAATTTATAAATAAAAACTTTCATGTGAGATAAAATTTAATGAACTTATTGTGAGTTTACTGTGTGTCAAAAAAACATCGTAAGTGCTTTTCCTCATTTAATTCTTTCCAATGTTTAGAAGGCATGGTACTATTACTGTCACATTTTAAAGTCGAAAAGCTGGAGGCACAGAGAACTGAAATAATTTACACAGAGCCACACAGTTAAAGAGGCTTCGGTTTGGCATCTGAATGAACACTGAATGGTTCTGGGGTCCATAATTTTAAGCAGTACACCATACTACTTCTCTGATACAAGGAAAGAGATACTCCCTATGCTGGGTGTTATTTTCTTTCCCCTTGCTAAAATTATTATTTAGTATGATAGGTAAACTAAGTCTAAAATATTGGTCTTTCATGGACCCAAGATATTAAATCTTTAATTTAGCACTCTATCCTTGTTTCATTTTAGGCTCCGCTAAGGAAGGAAGACAAATCACATTAAGATGACATATTTACTATTCTAATATATAATTGAGCAATATCATAAATTATACTGTTCCTGTTGCCCAGCCTACAAGTGAATGTACACGACAGATTCATCACTAAACATAAGGAATATTTCTCCCTAAAGGTCAGAAAAATATTCTCTCTACCCAAAAGCTATTTAAAGAAGGACTAAACTCTGAAAAAAAAAAATCAGGCTATTGGCAACACCATTTTCCAGTTCAATCAACCTGGAAACCTCAATTATTTCTTAGAAGAATAATGGTAGGTTAACTATCTGGTAACTCAATGGACTCAAATGTCAGCTCTGCCATTTTTTTACTTAGGTGTCCTGGGACAACTTGGTTTACTACTGTCTGTCTGTATCCTCTTGTACAGAGTGGGAATGACATTTAAAACCAGTTTAATGCCTCATCAGTCCCACTTAAGTGTTACATGAGCCTATTTCCTTCACAGTCTCCCTTTCCTCTCTACTCCTTCTGGTACGACCTCGGGCATTGGCCTCATGGTGTCATTCCCATGCTGCTATAGTAGCCTAAAATCGATCTTCTTATCTACATGTCTTCCAACTGCAATCCACTGTGAAGACATCCCTAGACTAACATTCAAAGAGCAATCTTTTGTTCACAGGATGCGCCCTCACAGAATATTCTCTCTCCCTCTCTCTTTTCTTTAAATTACCTTCCAATTTAGTTTAAATTTACTAAATGGTTATTAACATTTTCTACAAAGTGGGCTTGTGTCCCAGGGCTTACGTGTTTTATGCCATTCATTGAATGTACAGAAACCTCTTCCGGTCTGAACTTTGGTAAGCCATTTCTTTACTATTGTGTTATCTCCCATGTGCATCAAGATCTAGTGAAATGCATCGCTATGATGCAATCTTGGACCCATGCAGTCCAGAATTACATCCACTTCTTCAGATATCCTATAATGCGTTGTTTTCACACATTTATGCCTTATATTTCTCAAATTATTTGAAGTGGCTTTGTTAACTTTACTACTTTATATCTTTCTCTTGATGTAAGTTACCATATCCTATATTTATTCACACTTGGGTATATCCTACTTCCTTAAAAAAAAAAAGATTTTCTTTGACACTAAGTTTTTCTTTCTCCCTTTCACTTGTTCTCATGTTTCCTAGCACAGTGCTTTTCGCATTTAGGAGTATATGGTAAATATGAACTAAATCAAATGGGATAAAATTACTAAACAGAATCACTAGTTTTATCTTTCAGAGACTAAATCCTGAAAGTGAGAGTAGAAGCCTTCTATAGGTCCTTTACTCTCAAAACCAAGAATAGTGTTGGAGCACAAAAACTTAAGTCTGTTCGCTTTAGAGCTACAATCTTTCAAATACTAGTAAGTTTGAAATTATCCCCCTGATAAAATTTTTCAATGGTTTGTTTTCAACTAGTGACATATAATGGGACTGAAACGAGTGAATGACTAAAGTAGAAGAAGATGAAAACTTCTGAAGAGTCCAAAAGAAAGCATCAGTGTGGCTAGTGTGCCATAAAGAACACTGCTGTGTGGACCACACACCTGAAGGTACAGAAAGACGAGGAAGTTAAGCTGAATTGCTCATTCCAAACCTCTCTGCACTGCATGGGCTGACTGAGGTACCACACACACAAGGTATGGTCATGAATTCAGATTCTGAAAGGATAACAGACCTAGGGATGGGCTCTGCCTGCAGGGAAGGAACTTTTTAATGTGACATGTTTTCTTGAACCAAACAGTTTATTTATCTAAGGCAATTTATTTTGGATTGCTGAGTGGTGCTACTGAAGCTCAACATAAGTCAACTGTTATTTTTTTTTTCAAAATTAATCATAAAATACTCAGTACTAAATATGTTTTGTGTATATGGTTTCAGGTTTGAGAATAGTGTTTTTGTGGAGCTAAAAGAAAATTAGATCAGCCATAGAATTTTAGTGACATCTAGGTTAACCGTATAAAGAAGATTTAGAATTAGACTTCAAGCTTCATTTTCATGAATGACAGATTTAAATTTTGTTTTACATTTTCCTGATATGAAAGTTAAGGATAAAAATATGTATCTCATGATATTATTGCTCAGATTAACTGAAAAGGTTGAATATAAAATACACAGAATCGAATCAATACTTAATGAATGTTTTCCTGATCACAGTCCTTCAATTTACACGAATTACTTGTTCAACAGAACATTGGATAATTGTTCCCCCAACTTATGTGACAATCATTTCAACTATTGGTTTTGTTTTTATAAGTTTTTTCTGTCTCCTTCAAGCTAAGTATTTCACACTCCATAAGTACTTCACAATTGCCACATCTTCTCTCCAGAAAAGTCACAAATACACATGTTCATCCTAGGTCTGCAGTAAACAATAAGATATACAAATATTCTGTTTTTATATCCTCTATATGTGCATAGTGATTGAGCAAATGGCTAGTTTTTTTCATGAAAAATTCAAGAAGTACAGGCACTTTCTGAAAGTACTTTGCTTTATTTATAAAAAAAAGTTGGAGTTTAGTTTCTGTTTGAGCATGCCACTCAACAATACTCAGTGAGTATCCTTATTATGAGTAAATTTTGTGGCATGATTATGAAGTTATAATGCTTGATAAACATACATGAATTGAAATATCTGAATAAATTGATTACAAATTAATAACTATTAACATTTATTGAGCATTTATTATATACCTGAAGCTATGCTGTTCTTTACATGTATTAGGTAGTTCTTAATTTTATATCCATTTAAAAGAGACAGTAAGAAATTTGCTCAGTCACACAGCTAGTAAGTGATAAATCCAAAATACTCTCATGTATATTTTTGAAGATTCACACATGTATGAAAATGTCACAGTGAAACCCATAATTTGTAAAAATCAATATGCATCAATAATTATAAATTTAAAAATAAACAAATGTAAAATGTTTATCTCCAATCAGCCTGATAAGGTCCTGGTTTTGTTGTTTTTGTTATTAGTAACAGTTTGAAAGCTAAAGGTATTTTAATAGTTTTACTGTTTCCTTTACATCATAACATACAAACAGCCTTCCAGACTTACTTTTCTACCTTACCATGGTATGAATGCAACAGGCATTCACAAGGAACCATACTTTGAATTTTGAACATTGACCAACCCTCAGTATTGGGTAATATTCCCTCCTGAAGCTGGGAAGCCACAGGGAGCTTAGCTCCCTGTCAGCAGGGCCATCTGGAAAGGAAACCACTGACACTCTGCAGTACACCCTGTCGCTGAGCTTGGATGCTCTAGAGCATCTGACCAGATGTGTTAAATGCATTTCCAACTTTCATCAATCCAGGGTATAAAGCCAGGTGTTCATCCAAGTCTGAATACTAAGTCTAGATTCTTAAAGCACAACTTATACCATCTCATTATTGAAATAGTAGATTGGGAGATAATATATACACATCAATACTGCCATTATTGCTTCTAAATTTGGGGGAATTCTATTTTAGAATTGTCCTCCAGACCACCCCACTTCATCAAACAAGGCAGTTGAGCAGGTGAAAACTCAGCTCTGACTCTATGATCCCTTCCAGTTCTAACATGCTGTGATAACATTGATTTCTGTGATTTTTAATGAATGACAGAAGATTCTTTGGAGAACTTTGGGACTCTAATACCAAATACTTTTATCAATGAATAATTTGAATGGTTCACAAACTTACATTCAGGAATCTACACTTTCATTTATTTCCTACTTATTTAAAACAATCCAAGTGACATGATAAACAATACAAAATAGAAGACAAAAAAATAAGATATTAAGAGCAACCAAAAATCTTTAACATTATGAGGATCATGCTTAAGCAGACCCAAAATTTAAAATTTAATGTCAAAATGTGTTGTGCTCTTAAATACACAGGCCTTTAAATTAAAGTTATTTAACCTCTAAGTTTTTGATGGAGGCAGCATCCTTTGAAAAGTCATTTGTTCAAGATCTGGATTCATCACTTTGTAGAGACTTTGAGCAAACTATTAAAGCTTTGGGGATCTCAGTTTTTTTATTTGAAAATGGGAATAAAAATAGTTATCTTAAAATATTTGGGTATTAAAGATAATGTTTATAAGAATTTAATGATACCTGACAAATATTAACACATATTAATTTAATATTTCTTTTATTTTTTTTCATGTTAACACTAGCTAATAACACTAATCTCCTTTACTCTTTTCAATCTATGATTAGAGGAGAAAAAATCTTGAAGAAAGATGTGCTACATGTAGGTAATAAAATGATAATAAAATCAGTGAATGAAAATCTTGAAATTATGTAACAATTCAGACTAACAAATACATCATTTTTTTTTTATCTTTGGTATACATTTTCCCTCAATATTAACTATCAAGAACTATAAATAGAAATTTGTTCTTTTATGATTGTCTGCCAAATACATTCAGTATGACTGCAATTGAATAGAAAATAGAAATACATATTACTTACTGTATATAGTGCTTGGAAATTTCAAAATGATTTGAAAACATTCATCCTCAAAATACTTCTACAAAATGCATCTGTGGAAGAGGAAAAACAATCCAAAAAAGAAAAAAATAAGCAATTTTCCAAGGCCACTGAAAAATTAATGCAGACCAACACACATTAAACATTGCTTAACAAACTGAAATACGGATTTGCAAAATATAGATGCTACACCTAGCAAAGTATAATAGGCTATGAACAGAAATATTCTCATATGCATGCAAATATTCTGAACACTGGTCAAGGAGACACTCCTAAGCATGAGGTAGGAAAAGTCTGCACGTTGGCTTCAGAATTATTTTAAGTACACAGTACTCATGGAATATTGGTAGAACAACATAAAAGCAATTCAAAATATGAAATGCGTATAAGTAAATTTAGTTGGCGATTTGAGATGATTATTCAAACACATTCTAAAATGTACTTTTGTCTGATATATGAAGACCATTGAGTTAGAAGAGTATTTTGCTTGATTTATCTAGAGAATTGTACCAATTCACTTTGTAATTGCATTTCTGTTCTAATTGAAAATCATGCACTGAAAAAAATGCAGGCATGCCTCCTGCACACCTCACAAAAATACACAAGCAGATCTATGCTGTTTTTCATTAAGTCAATGTGATTATAAGGAAAAAATGATTTAATCAGGCTTTATTAATTAATTTGTTTGTTTTAGAAGATTGGTATTGGAAGATCACATTAATTTTGAAACTCAAATATTTCAACTTAAATAGATTTTATGCTACTGGAAACACTGTTTTATAAAAGAACTGTTCACAAGAAACAAAATAAAACATATCCTAATGAAGATTATATATCATCCTTTAAAGCACAGACTGCAAGTTTCCGACAGATCAGACACACCATGCACGATCTAATAATTAGCAAGTTTATTTAAAGGAATTAGCAATTTTATTTAAAGGAATATTAGTTATCAATGACCAAAAGAATTTCTGCCCAGGGAGATGTGGGGCTTTATAGTACTAAGCAGAAACACCAGTTTACTAATGCAGAAGTTGTGCTTTTTTGTTCACCAAAACCTATATAACCAAATTCAGCATTGTTCAACATTCACAACAAGTACTCTGCATAGAAGGTCTAATTTATCTTCCCTTAGTGTGTTAAAAAGACTAGAAAGACTCTTGTCTCCATCTAGTCCATCGATTGATAATTTTGCTAAAGTTGAACACAGAGCCTCTCAAATGAGATGAAGCCAGAAACAGTTAGCAAGTTTACAGCTAAATGGCAAATATAAATCAAGAAATTCCCAGAAACTAGGTATTATGATAAATTTCATTGGTCTAAGTTTAAAACTTGGAATTTAATAGAACATTCAAATTCACCTCCCTATATAACTTCATTAGAATTACAGAGTTAAAACAGCACGTATTTGTTTTTCATACTTTACAATATTCATCCTTATAGACAAGAGGATTGAATTGAAGACTAATCCTGTGGTTAGTCTTTCCTAACTTGACAAACAGAAGCTGAACTTTAACTCTGAACAAGCTTTTCTAACAAGAGCTTCACATCACAACCACACCTGCTAGTTTCTATGCACAGCAGAGATTTCAAACTGGGTTCATAAACACTAAATCTCACTAATGATATTCTTCATGAATTACCAAAATAATAATTTAAAAAAATCTGTATGGTACCCCCATCCTTACTCACCACAAAGCCTAAGCAAATAGGAGCAAAACAAAAAAAAAAGGAAGAAACATTACACAATTCAACTTCAAAATATACTACAAAGTTGTAGTTATCAAAAGAGCATGATTATACTGGCATAAAAACAGACACTGAACATGAAACATGAAACATGGAACAAAATACCCAAAAGAAAATCCATACATATATGGACAATTTATTTTGAATACAGTAGTAACCCAGTAGAGAAGGGATAGTCTTTTCCATAAATGGTACTGGGAAAATTGGGTATCTGCATGCAGAAGACTGAAATTAAATCTCTATAAAAAACTGTCAGTTAAAAAAATCAACTCAAAGTAAACTAAAGACTTGGATAAAAGACTTGAAACCATAAAGCTACCAGAAGAAAAGATAGAGGAATGCTTTGTGACATTGGAATGGGCAAAATCCCCAAAGCACAGGAAAAAAAAAAAAAAAGCAAAAATAGGCACACTAGTTTACAACAAACTAAACACCTTCTGCATATACTCCCCCCCCCAAAAAAAAATCAATACAGTGAAGACAATCTACAGAATGGAGATAATATTTCGAATGACACATCTCACAAGGGGCAAACATACAGAATATGTAAGGAACTCCAAAAACCCAAAGCAAGAAACAGATAATCCAATTTAAAATGGGCGACAGATTTAATAGACATTTAACAAAAAAAGACATACAAATGGTCAACAGGTCAATAAAAAATCAATATTTCTAATCATTAAGAAAATACGTATGAAAAACATATTGAGATATCACCTTACTCCAGAAAGAATGACTATGATCAAAACACTAAAGAAAACAAGTTCTGGGAAGGATGTGGAAAAAAGTGAATTCCTGCATACTGTTGGTGGAACTGTGAATTAATATAGCTATTCTGGAAAACAGTATGGAATGTCACACACAACAAAAATTAAAAATAGGACTCACAAATGATCCAGAAATACCACTACTGAGTATATATCTAAGGAAATGAAATAAGTGTGTTGAAGAGACATCAGCACTCCTATATGCATTGCAGCATTATTCACAATAGCCAAGAAATAGAAACAACCTTTGTCCCTCAACTGATGAATGGATAAAGAAAATTGGGTTCATATACACAACAGGGTATGATATAGTCATTAAAAATAAATCTTGTCATCTGCAAAAACATGATGGGGGGGCTGGGGATGTGGCTCAAATGGTAGCTCACTCGCCTGGCATGCGTGGGGCCCGGGTTCGATCCTCAGCACCACATACAAACAAAGATGTTGTGTCTGTCGAAAACTAAAAAATAAATATTAAAATTCTCATTCTCATTCTCTCTCTCTCTCTCTCTCTCTCTCTCTAAAAAAAAAAAAACATGATGGGATTTGAGACCATGATAAATAAAATTAGAACACGTAGACAAATGCATGTGATCTCATTCATACATGGAATCTCAAAAAAAATGACCATTAGTAGAATGGCAGTTATCAGAAGCTCATGAGAATAGGGGAATGGCAGAACAAAGGAGGGATTGATTGATCCATGTGTACTAAGTTATAATTACATAGGAGTAAGAAGTTCTGGTGTACTATTACATGGTAGGATGACTATAGATAATATAACATTATGCATATTTTATAAATCTAGAAGAAATCATTTGAATGTTTTCACGATGAAGAAATGACACATGTGAAGACATATTTACTCTGATTTAACATTGTACAGTGTACACAGAGATCAAAATTTCATGATACCCATAAATATATACAATGTTTAGGTTTCTATTATCAGTTTAAACTATAAATTTAATTTAAACTAAAAAACTGGCTTATTAGCACATATTACATCACACCATGGCTTTAAAAATATTACACAACAGTCACAACTGGTATATTTCTCATAAGAATTCTCATTTCTAGCTTTTTTGAAAGAATTTTCATAAGGCTGTGCTCAGAACTCACATGTGGAACAGAGAACAGGCTGCCCTCTTCTACGGCACAAGCCTTCTTCACTCACCCAGCCCTTACTTTTGCAAACTCTTCTACTTGGTAATTTCAAGCACTAGAGTTTTTGCCCCTGATCCAAACCTTCTTTCCTGCAAAATACCATTGGAATTCTTTGCTCTGAAACTAGAGAGTTTTTCTTCTTATGTTCAAAATGTTTACACTGTTGGTTAAAGTAACTTCTTAAAATATGTACTTCAATACAGTATTATAATTCCTCAAATTAGGTGCTATTAACTAGTTATCATGTTTTAATTTATATACATATTTTAAAATGTTGAGGGTTTGGATTTCCACATATTTAAACATAGTAGATCATTTTTAAAATTAAGGGAGAAAGTTATAAACCATATCATTGGTACATCATGAAAAGAATTAATTATTTCAAACAATGATTTTAACTGTAACTGTAGACATAATGTTCCTATAGATATAATTCCTGGATTAAAAGAGATACAATGTACCAATATACTTATAATCATAAAGAGAAATCCTCCAATTTAATTAAACAAACTGGACTAGGGAAACACTGAACACTAAATGTGTAGCTAGCTATGTGACCCACAAACTTAAGTTAAATGCTAGTATGATGAAAATATCTTGAAATATCAATAAATTATGTAGAATCCTTAAAAAATATGGGCTGAGAATTCTGGTGGCTCAGGTAGGAGAAGCCACCTGAATCTGAAACTTTCCACATATATATCCTAAAAAATATACAACCAAAAAAATTTTAATGAAACAAAAAACACAAATCCTAAGCCTTTAGCCTAGGAAACTAAAAAATAAAAAGAAAATTTTCAAATTATCTATTAACAGAAAATTAAACACCAAATTCTAACAGAGCTTATCTTTCAAGTACCCACTGTACACAACAGAGATAGAAGGGATGGGCAGGGGGAGGGGAGTGAGAGGAAAATAGTTAGTTGTTACAGTAAATGATAAAATTCATGGTGAAAAATATGATATAAACAATGAAATGAATAAAGAATAAAGTGAAGAAGGAAAGTCCTTTCTTTATGTAGAACATCTCCTAAAAAAAAAAAAAAAAGATGGATTGATGAAGTTAGAAAATCACCATTAGCAAGCATACTTAACCATCTGGATCAAGAGAACATTAGTGGATCAGAACCAGTGGCTGAAAGTATAATGGGAAACACACATTTCCATAGTTGGAAAGCATCTTCCCACAAATTGGTTATTTATTACAGTGGGGGAAATTGTAACCTTCAGTGGAGAAACTTGGCAGAAACTACTTTAACTAATTGATCAAAGACAACATCATCAATAATGGGACAAATACACAGGACACACCAGAGAAGGATTCAACATCCCTTTTGTGGTATCCTTGCCAAAACTGCATAACCTGAATT